ACATCAGCGAGCATACACGCCGCAAAATAATTGACGATTCTGGTTCTGGTCACAATCCAGTCATTGCTAGTATTACCATCGGTAGCAAAAGCATGACAACGAAAGTGCTAACTAAGCTATCATGGAACTTCAAGAAGGCGAACTGGCCAGGAATCACAAACCTTTTAGACAATGAACTTCACACATGTCCCCTCAACTTCAACCAACATCATGACAAACTTTGCAATGATATCACGAATATTATGATCAGATGTGCAAAGAAAACTATTCCCCGAGGCAAAACTAAACACTATCGAGTATTTTGGTCTAAACACCTTGAAGAACTGAAAAGAAGTCGGGACGCCCTTCGCAACACTGCTGATCAGACTGTAAGAACGGAAGACGTACAAGCCTGGAGACGGCAGTCAGCTGTTTTAAGTCAAGCCATCTTACAAGCTAAACGGACTTCCTTCGACAACTTCATCTCAAATATCAACTATCAAAGTGATAGCCATTGCACTTTAAAATTCCTGGGTAACCTCCAAATCATCAGAATTCAAATTCCTGGGTAACCTCCAAAACAACAGAGAAAGACAAAGAACCAATACGTTTAAAAAGCAAACTGCTTACCACCGATTCCGAAATGGCTAACTGCTTTGCAAGATTCTATTCCCACAAGCAAAAGAAAAACTCTTTTGTCAGAAAACCTTCAAGTGATTTAAAAATACAAGTAAGACGGTTGGGTGAAAATAAGGAAGGAATAGCAACACCAAGTAATGTACTTTTTGAATCATTCAGACCTTGCGACTTTAAAGCTGCGATAAAACAGTTATATTGCAAAAGTCTCCTGGAGAAGACGGTATTCATCAGAAATTTCTAATTAGAATGGGGCCAAAGGCCAAGCAAACCATGGTGACGCTTTCAACAAAATCTGGGAGATCAGTCTTGTACCTAACTAATGGAAAGTTGTCATAGTAATACCAGTACTAAAAATGGGCAAAGACATTAGCAAGTTTGGCAACTATAGGCCAATCTCCCTCACAAGAGTGGTGACTGAAATTATGGAAAGAATAGTTAACATGAGGCTGACCTGGTTCCTTGCGACCAACAATATTCTTGAAAACGAACAAGCAGGTTTTAGGTAAAAGATCAACTAACCAACAAGTAGCCACTTTCTCCCAAAATATCAAAGATGCCTTTGACACAAGAAATACCCTTACTGCTGTAATCGTCAATTTCAAATCAGCATACGACTTAGTATGGAAAGAGAATTTAATTCTAAAATTGGCGATGATTGGTATTAAGCATGACATGCTAAACTGGATAAAATATTCATTAGACAAAGATCGTGTAAAGTCAGATACGGAAATCCTTTCATTGGACAAAGATCATGTAAAGTCAGATATGGAAATGATCTATCAGATGCAATCTTGTACAAACAGGCCTTCCACAGGGAGCTGTCACATCCTGCACTCTCCACAGGAAGCTGTCACAACCTGCACTCTTTTCAATGTCCTCATCAATGACATAGCCGAATTGGTACAGACAGTCACGAGCATGCAATGACATAGCCGAATTGGTACAGACAGTCACGAGCATCAAGTGGTTACTTTATGCAGATGTTCTTGTTCTATGGTGTTCCGCTCCTAAAAAAAAATGCACTATAAACATTTCTTTGGGCCGTCAAAGCGTAAATCCGCTTCTAAGGTACAAGAATACTACCCTTGCATAAACTAATGAGTTCACATATCTCGGATTGACTTTTGACACCAAGCTAACGTGGAAAAGTCACATTGCTAAAATGGCAGAACGAGTCTCCAATGGACTGAATGTACTGGAACGTTCAGTTGGAGCTCTCCAATAGACTGAATGTACTTAAGCGTCTTGCTGGTAGCCAATGGGGCCTGTAGCGCTCAACTCTAGGACCACTTAACAAGATGTTTATTTAGCCAATAATGTTGTATTGCTGTGAAATATTCAGCCAATAATGTTGCATTGCTGTGAGCCACTCATTACAGCCATAGAGGTAACTCTCAAACCAATCGAGAAGGCACACAACCAAGCGTTACGAAATAACATTGTCTATTTTCTTTATTTTTAATAATAACTATGTTCTTGATTATTTGTCTCTCCTGGAATGCTCACTATCATCTCAAATAGCTATGCTCTTTATTTTTGTAAAATTTGAAACAGGTTTTCTTCTATTTTGAAATTTATCAATGACAGTTAATGTGACGAAATCTTGTGAAACCAATTGATATCAATAGCCGTTCAGTGATACGCTTTACCCACTTCGGTTCCCCAAACTCGAAATTTTTCATATTGTCTTCGTTGTGTGTTTCAAGGACTCCTACTAAAAAGGCCCAAAGACATTCCCCGGTGAGGCAGTTCTAAATTGGAAGACATGAGCACTTTATTTGCAAATATGCGCTAAGGAATTGTGGAGGTCTTCAAACAATTAATCATGACCGATAAGCCGTGTAGCTTTCAGTCACTTATTCACAACTGACTTTGAAATAAGCCCATCAAGGAGACTTAACGGAATAACTCGCCTTTTACGGCCTCTCTTTATTATCAAGTTGAGTACTCGATAAGAAGCGATTTGGTGGTCAGAGACTTTTGGACTCATATTTGACATTTGCATTTTGGTCGATACTATTTATCATAAGTAGGCATGAATGCAGATGCTTTCTTGCACATTACTTAGGATGGGTAAGAGAGGCGTTTTATGAGGAGATAAGTTGAGTCTCGTGGTACATGTTAAACACTTTCAACACTGGAACTGAACAAGTTCATTTGCAGTATGCTGTTCTTAGCAATAACATGTATTCAATGCTTTCAAATAAAATTAGAACATAAATTTGCCTCACTGTATTCACGGATATCATCTCACACATTGATTAATTAATAAGTCACAGGCTACAATGCTGTAATCTCCATGTACACCATAATAATCTCATTTAGTTAATTTCATTTATCATATACTTCCTATTGACATATTTGACTTCATTCGAATGTGATGAAAAACTAGACGACAGCGTGAAAGTTGTGGAGCAATTCAGCCCTGCATTGGATTCAATTTTAGGAAAACTATACTTCCTCTTAATTCTGAAATATTCCGTTTTCCATATGCTTCGACGCATTTTCCTTCATGACCTCCTGTTCTTAAAACATCCACAGTAATAAAAAAACCCTCCTACGAGAAAAAAAATACGTCAAATATTCCATGGAGGACTAACCCGGTGATTCTTGCAATTAAGCGGAAATGAAAATGTTAAGAGTAATAGTAAATTTTACTGTCACCTACTGACATTTTGCACTAATTAATAGTACTGTTTTTGTAACTTTGGCCGAGCATTCTAAAAATGTTAATTTTGTTGATATTAAACAGTGAAAGTCAAAAGTATAAAAGACTAAATAGAGACCAACAAACCACTGATATGAGGAAGAATTTCAAGTAAGAGAAATATGAAATAAGAGGGAATCTCAACCCCGTCTAAGTGTGGTTAACAAGTACCTTGGTGAGTTCTGGGAGTGATTAATCTATTCCAGGAGTAAATTTGTAGTGTATTGCTATAATAGTAAAGCCTTTACCGGCTGAGAAATCTCTATGGCAGAATCTCTCTTACCTGGCTAGACTCCGTGAAGTACCTAAGCTGTGGTGAAGATAGGGAGGAAAGAGACGTATTGCACAGATTACGTTTTCTTGCAAATATGTTCTCTCCAAAAGCGAATATTTATCAAATAAGTGTAGCATAATTTAAGTAAACATTAATGGCTAAATATCTGTAAGCAGTGTTCTATACGTTCAAATCCTGGCGTGCGTGACTTCGATGACGTGTCCAACAATTTTCATATCTTTCTTCAGAGGCAAACGCTAGTCAATGCATCATTAACTATAAGGTTATAAGCTTGACTATTTGACGATAATGAAAAACATTAGACGTTGAAGTAAAAATAGCTATTAGAGAATTATCAAATTCTCAAAATTATATTTGAGCATCTAAAAGTTTCTTTAATTAGTTAAAACTACAATATCGTTGTTGCTATGAATAATATATGAACAAAAATATTTGATGAGCATTGAAATAAGTCATTAGGCAAATTAGATTAGAGAAAATTGTGGAAAGCTTTTACCAAAAAGTGCTTATCCGAAGCATTCAATAACGAAGGAGAATTCATTAATCAAATAATACTCTTTTATGATTGCATTAGAAGGATATTGAATAAGTTATCATCCTGTGACGTTTACTCAAGCTAGGAATTCAGTATAACTTTTATGTTTGTTATATTTCTTTACATTAGGTACCAAAAGACTGCAAATAGAATTATTCACTTGTCATTATGAAAGTATTTCATTTCGTTCCAAATGTTACAAAATAGGATAGATTTAATAAGCGATTATAAATAACTGAAATTACAAAATGCATATGCCGATTTGGACAAATCAAAGACTGTTTGAAGGTCGTGTACTTATTGGTTTGGGTGAGAAAAACGTACATTTCTAAATATTATAAAATATGCTACTATTTTATATTATATATGTTATTATGTTCACAATATATATACTTGATAACGTCTATTATATTTAAAATAAAATCTTAATAATCAAAATTTAATTGTTGACAATCTAGAATTCTAGGATGTTCATTTGCTCCTTATTAATAGAAGTAGGTGCTTATTGATTTATTTAAGAAAATAAATGAATGTCATTAAATATACGTATCAATTGCATTAACCTAGTTCACATTACTAACTAGCAAAGTGGAATTTGTAATTACTATGTTTGTGTTGCTGAAATTGTTTGTATTTTAATGAGTGGGGATTTGTGAACATTTAAGGAGATGTTCGTGTCTATACTCGGTGTGATCTATTTAATGAGCACAAATTACAATAGGTTTGTTTGTTTTCTATACAATTCGGCACTGAAGAAGGAGAATTATTTGACACTGAGTTGAAAGGACCATATTGACTAATTAAATGGATGCCCGATATTCGTGACTTAAATTTCGAATGCTAAAATGACATTTTTCAGGACACTTTTGAGTGGCTGAATTTCAGGTGCAAAATACTAATCCACTGTGATTTTAATCAGCATGGGAGAGTCATCCTTTTTTGTCTCAACGAGCTTATGCGCCACTTTCATATATTGCAAGCTGCGGACTATTATTTTCCTTTAGGAGGAAACAAAACTTATCCAGATGGGTATCATCGATGCAACTTTGTATCTCGATGCTCCAGATGTTGATGAATTGATGAAGAGCACTGATTTCTACACTGCTATCCCCAGATCGCTTTCAAGTAAGTCCTATTGTGCATAGATTTCACTTCATATTTAGTATACTTTGTCGTGATTGGGCGACCTATTCCCCAGTGACAGCATTAATTACTTTGGTTGCTCAATTCACTTGTTGCCATAGTATTGAAATCTCCACACCAAATTTTGAGAATTTCCACCCTGTTTAGATTTCTCAAACATATCGAAGTATAGTTAATTCGCTTTTCCCCAACTGGAAGTTTTAGGCAAAGATTATTTACTGGAATAATTATTGTCTCTTAAACATACTTGTATTTTCCCCAAAATAGCTATTTCATTTTTTCAAGTTTGTCTTGTATATACCATAACCCCACCCCACCCCTACCCATCACATCCAAACTCCTCCATCTGAACAAATATTTTATTCTCTCAGAGGTTCACCCACAGACTTGCAATCCCATGATTTGTAGCATTCCTAACGCCTAGTATGTGTGGAGTGGAGGTATAATGAAGTCAATGTGATGGGAATCTCACATTATTTCAATTCTCCAGTCGTCCGGGATCTATCGTGTGATTTTCTACTCATGGAATGTTTGTGGGTGTGTGCATCTCTGAGTAGTGACTCTCAGACAGTCACTTTGTTCACACGTAAACATGCTAATTGGGTGTTTACTTAACGAAATTAAGTAGGTGATTTAAATGAATAAATATTGATTTAATTGAACTAACTATCACGTTCATTCCAATGGAAAATCTGAACTGAAATTCCTGTTAATATACCGATCTGCACATTTTCTGATTTGAACATAGGCGAATTCTTTTACGACAACATGCCACTAGTAACCACAAGATGTCTATAATTCAAACAATAAAAAAATAGACTTTGAAATAACGGAATTGTAAAAGAATAATACCCAAAATAGCTCAATATTTATCTTTTTACTTTCGTTTAACCTCCCACTTCTCCACACATTCAATCTCTAGACATGGAATTCATCAGTTCATGGAATGTCTATGTTTCATTTATTAAAAGGGCCATTCGATTAAGATTAACGTGGGTTACTTAGAAGATTCGGTATCTAAACTCCAATTTCATTCTCAGCCATCACTTGATTCACTTTCGCAATTTACGTTATTGATATTCATTTAACCTCCCACTTATCCACACATTCAGTAGCTAGACATGAAATCCATGAGTTCATGGAATGTCTCTGTTTCAGCGATGTCTTGCCATCTAAATCACTTGTCCGTGCAACCTATTTTTATTTTTCAAATTTCATCTATTTTTTAGGACTATTCGATTAAGATTAACATGGATTACTTAGAAGATTCGGTATCTAAACTCCAATTTCATTCTCAGCCATCACGTGCTTCACTTTCGCTGTGAGCTTTTGAAACCAGCAATTAGTGCTCGAAATTTTAAATAGCATCAAATTCGGAAAGTTTAGTGACGAAATTCTGAAAATGATAAATCATAGATTTGACAGATGTAGTAGATTGTAATGAAATTCAGTTGACAAGAAAACTGAATAACTTTTGATGGAACTGTACTCAAGTTTACCACTATATATAATTTGACTTAAATGGGTAAAAAAATTTATTTTTCTTAAAATACATTTTTGAGAGCAAACAAACTGCTCTCATTTTCGATTAAAGCACAATTAAAAGGCTGTCACAATGGTTTGAAGATGAATGGAATTTAAAGCTCTGAAGACGCAAATAATCAATGCCAAATATTATAATTTCATTATGCACTTTCAGGTATTGTCATTTAATTGTCACCGTTTCCGCAATGACAGTAACTTCATATTAACCGTTAAAAATGTGTAATAATTCATCAGGCATAATCGAGGATGAATCGAAAAATCTTTATCTACTATTTGAAATCATGACTGAGCAAAATTCTTAAATCAAATAGTTAAATCAATTGAATGGAGGACACTTTAGATACTCAGAGCCAAACGATGACAAAGAGGATACGATAGGGCCAATTTAATTCAAATGTTCATGTTATCCAATAAATTTTCACTATTCGAACAGGTCTACACGTCCAAATTTCCTACCTAAAGGGCATATTTAATAGTTTGGATGTTGGGTGGAAATTAAGTCATTCCATCCCTGTAAATAAGATTTTCCTTCTCACTGGAGGTTAAGAAATAATAATCATATTCCTTCTTTTATGTTGAAACCAATCAACTGTCAGTTCCTGTTGTAATGATCCACAAATTCCAAATTCTTGATTTTTATTTTGGTAGATTGAAGGAACAGGTAACATATAATCTGAAGTTTTTCTTGGCAGAAAAAGGATTGGCATGTAGTGTTCATTTGATCTTTCAAAATTTAGCAATTAATGTACAAGAATTTAACAATTATTAAACAACAGAACGATGGCAGATTTAGTCAGATTTTAATAAAAAGATCTAATACTTCTTTTCATTTCCAGTGGCAATCAAAAGTTTGCGTAAGTTTAAATTTATACGAAAGGACACTTAGCACTTTAGGTAAATTGCTTTCAATCTAAAACCGTGTCTTAGATTATACCCACCCAATGACCTTAAAACAAGTCCATCAATTATATTTTCCACTAATAATTTTAGGTTGACCAAAGCGAGAGATCTTGTTCGGCGGCAGCTTTAATGTAAGTTGGCTTTTTACTTCGTTGCGCATTAAATCATACTCTAGTGACTGGCGAAAAGAACATTCCACAAGTGTGAATTATGGGCAATTCCGTGTTCATGAATGGTTGATAAGTCCATCAATCTTGCCTCCTTTTCACAAAATTCAACCAATTTTACAACAAATATGCACTCAATTTCACCATAGAACTGCAATTATGGAAATGGCATATGACTAAATGATTTTGTCGTAAGACCCCTCCTTCAACCCCACCAAGTTCGTTGGCCTTTCCATTTCATATTCCATTTATTGGCATAAATAGTTATATTGCCTATGTTTTCGTCCAACCGATGTGTCAATACGCATTTCACCGTATCGGAGACAGCGTTATTTTCTCTTTGCACATCAGGTTATTAAGATTTAATTGAATTTTCTAATTTTTTTAGTTTTCATATGAAAACTGTAGGAATACGTATAAATGTGAAATGGCACGGGCGTACTATCCGTATTTATTATAATGATACAATTAACTGATAACACACATCAGCACTTTCTACCAGTTTTCACATAAAATTTGAGAGAGAGAGAGAGAGCAATAACAAAGGTCAACTTCTTTCTACCGGAGTCTCTGCTTCATTTCCCAACTAAGCAATCATGTTTGCATAAAATTTGTTCTATTTCCAAATTTTGGCAAAGTTAGAGATAATAATTATTTCGTAAATTTTGTAAAACGATATATTAAATTAATTTTCGGGGTGTGCGATAGAATTACCTCCACGTGGTACACCCTGGTCAACGTATACTCATACGGCAAAAAGTTTATTAACCGCCAGTTGACTTCGAACTTCAAACTACAATCACCTCACTGTATGTCATATTCTACCATTTCCAGAGTGCTCACCTCACCTTTGTTCTACCATTGTGTCTGTCTCTGTTACATCCTTAAAACATTCTTCTGTTCCCCCCCCCCCTCTAGACTTTTTTCGAAGCGAAGTTAGCTAAGGACTAATTATAATTATCAAAATGAATGACATTCGATAAAAGCAAATAAATAAACGATAATTTAGGAAAAGGAGATGAAATTGTCAGGAATTTGTAGATAAGGGGAAACTATGCATCTTGAAAATGCTCGATTGTTCATAAAAAAGTCGCTTTAGTCAACATGGCGCTTTAATCTACAAGTTATATTACTACAGCATTCGCACGCGTTCCACCTCCATATATACATCTGATGAAATGTTTGCTGAATGACGCTTTCAGGGATGGACTTGAGAATTGTGTCCCACTTCCTTATGAAAGCTATTAGAAATTGAAAATAAGTGATCCATTTGGACTTGACTCGTTCGAATTTCCAGAATACGCCACCAATGTGTAAGCAATAGGTACTGTATGAAAGCCTGGGTATTTAAAATTCACAATTGCAGCAAATAAGCATTTAACATTATCATGTCTTCAATATCAAGTGTCTGCTCACTACTTGAAATCAATTATTTACATTGTCATTAGTCTGGTCTAGTCAGTTCAAACGAAAATGTTCCCTTTAAAGCTGTACATATGCACAGATTAATTGCGTATGACCTTTGAAGCCAGAATAAAGAAAGCTTTTCTTAACTTTTTGGCATTTGTCCAAGTGAGGATAACAACAAATTCTACTTAAAGGTAAGGAAGTTATTTTTAAAGCGAAACAGATTAGAGAGGCCAAGAACTCTTGGGAAAAGTTTTACTTGCATCAGAAGAAAGCCATTAATGTCTTCAATAAGCCATTTGTCAGAAGCAGAAGAATAACATTTCGAAAAATTCCCGATTCCCCATTTAAAATAAGTCAATCATGTGTGTACTAGTGCGATTGAATCTTTCTGATGGAAACTTAGTAATTCATTACCAATGTGATTGATTACACAATTCACTAATATGTTGCAAACATTCGAACTCAGATTTCACAGATGCTTAACTCACAGACATGAAGCATCCACCCACACAGGTTCTACTACCATTTATATGCCTATCACTCTTGCCAAAATGTTTGCCTAGGCAAATTAATGTCGTTACTCAAAAAAGGCGTTAAAAATAGTTACAGGCAAGTTATGAACAAAATATGCCTATATTTACTCAACAATTAGTGTTTAAAAATGTTGAAACATATCCCATGTACGATTTTTAAGTTAACAGACTTTCGGGAAGGAATTTTATATTTCTGCATTATCTTTTTTACCGATTTCAGCTCAATTCCCATTCGATATGCAATTGTACTTAACCATGCGTCGTCATTGGGAAAGGATTGGGTGAACAACATGCCTAAAGCAATCTTTTCAATGTTGTCAAAACTAATTAACTGAAAACAGCCAAGCAGAAAAGGTGGATATTTGGGCCAGGGTACTTCTGATTTGATTACACTCCACTTATCCACCCCTCTTCCCTCGAAACGACATACTGGGCTTCCATGAATAGGAATACCGTGGAAAAGGTCCTGCTTTTCCATGGGGCTAAGATTCAGAAGGCCATGTAGTAAACATCTTTCACAGAACGGTACATCATCGTCTAGAAAGACAAAGATCGGTCGACTTTTTCGACGAAATGTTGCAGCCCAAGTAAAGACATATTGGGATTTCAGGGAGAGATTGAAGTAAGTATCTTCATAGTCACCAAGAATAATATCCGAATGTGTTTCCATTTCTTGTTCCAGATTTTTAGCTATTTCTTTAAGTCCATCGGGATTCAGATATTCTCCACCACTAACGTCAAGTCGAATAACTCGATTTCCTCGCATAAAAATATTATCCTTTTGCTGTCTTGGAATACCAAGAGAGAAAACAAGACCAATTCGAACACCAGAGAATCTGTAAGTGGGATAACGGATGAGATAGGAATGAAGACGTCGAAATTCCCTTCTCTTGCCGAAATTGGCTACTCCAGATTTTACAACAATAATAAGATTCAGTTCTTGACTACTGGGATTCTCTGGATTGCATACCTGGCTGCTGATGGAAAGATATCGAAATTTGGGGATATTTATTGGTTTCTAGAAAGATATTTGTGATAATAAAAAGTGCAAAATTCACTTACTTCATTCAATGGTTTTCTGTCAATAAGTCGATTGATTGCATCAGAAATATTGATGGCTTGTGGATAGAGTAAGGTGACTCGAGGATCAATAGGTAGCTTCCAGAGTTTATCTGGGATATCTATTAAATCCCTAAATTTGAGCAGTCTATTCTTAGCTCCATCCTGAAGAACATATTGATCAAGTATATTGAACTCTGAGAAATTCTTCAATTCGGTTTGATAATTTAGGTGCAGTTCATACACTCCATTCACTTTCTTTAAATCGAATGGCCATTTTTGTACCAGATTCCTATCTCGAGACACCGTATTCTCCAATATATCGTATCTTTTGAGAGAGTAGAATCGTAAACATGCCCACAAAATTAATACAACAAGTAAACCTATACAAAGGTGAGTAATCCTGAACATTGGGCTGGTATCCTAACAAACAGTATCTACTTGCATACGAAAACGCTGAATTTGTAAGTTAATAATTGAGTGAGCAGGGATTCGTCGAGGCCCATTAACCAGTAGGAATTACTGAATAAACGCAATATTATTGGCTTATATCATATTCGGTGACAAAAATGCCATTTTAGGTATTCACGACATGAATAGTAAAGAAAGATTCCAGGAAAACGTCAGCTGCTAATTTCACCAAATTTAAAATGAGTTACTACGGATTCCAAATGTAATAAGACATTCGGTATTGATAGATGGTTGAAAATTAACCGTGGTGTCATCTACTCTCGTTTAAACAGGGCACATCGATTTATAAATATCTCTTTACTTATTCTATTATGGTGCATTTTTTCAATAAAAGCCTTAACTAGTGTAAAACAGTTAGCTCATTTATCACCATTTTTTAATGTTCCTGAGAATACGATAACTTCTAGAGCCATTACTATTATTAAGCAACAACATTGAGAACTTTTAATATCCTAATTGAAAATCATTCTCTTGTGATTGAGGGGTCAACTCATACTTGAGAGATAATGAGTTTCATGATTGTCAGGGCACACCAAGTAATTGATTGATATCCACAGGAAGCGAGATTCTGACCAGAGTAACTAAGGAGTGACTTCTTCCTTCTCAAGATGAGTTTTAGAAACCGGTTTCGTAAAAGAAACTAAAAAATGTGATCACAAGTATTGTTTGATTTCGTTTTGGGAGATCTCTTCTTTGTCAGTTGGCATTCTCACTTCATCCAACTATCTCCCAAGTCTGTACCTTTCAGACGAATCTATTAAAATATATGGAGGGAATGACGTTGTCGCTCATTGTTTAATTGCGAATTTTCCATTGCAAAAAAGGAATCTTATTATATTTGTCAATGGAAAAAATAACATGTGGTAGAGTGCAACTTCTTGGATTGTCAACCTAATTCAATTACCACCTTAAACGGATTGAAAGCTTAACTCCAGTCAATGGCTGTCAAAAAGCATGACACAAATTCGTTTAAATCTCAATATATCCCCCCCCCCACCTCCTTAATCATGTGTTGTTGGTCTTTGTTGAAGCTCAAATGCAAGTATACTTCCAACTCGAACTTACAATGAATTGACTACCCTGACAAATTAATTACATATAATCTCATTTATTACCACTTTCCAAAACCAATAAGTAGTCCATAATTAAACCTTTTGGTATAAAAATATGCTAACAGCACCTACTGTCCTATTTCGGAATGAATATTTAACCAAATTACCCATCAATTATCCAGGGTTCGAGGTTAGAATAGAGGTTGGTTAGAAAGGTATAGAGCTAACAGTACTACATCTGAAGTATGGTGAAGATAGTTATATTGACACCTCCTAGAGTCCATGCAAAAGATAATGAAGCACATAAAGTTAGCTGGTTGCGAAGTTTTAAATCTTCACTTGAATGTTTCAATGGAATCAAGGCATTTATTCCGATGAGGAATTCAATTATTATATAATCTCCATTTGAATGTGGGGGGTGCGCGATAGACTTACCTCCATGTGGTGCACCCAGGACAACGCATCTTCATACGGCAAAAAGTTTATCACTCGACATTTGATTTGATTTCTACTTATGAAGAATGGCTTGAAACAAGGATATAATAGAAATCACCCACGTCAGGACGAATCACAACGTCTACAGATCCTACAGTGGAATGCTGGAGGGATGTCACAGGACAAAAACTATCCAAGTCCAGAAAATCCTACAAAAATATGATGAAGACATTTTTACAATTATGCAAGCAAACCTTTCGGATGACAAACTGAAATACTACCAATTCCCAGGTTACACCCTCTACCTTCTACCTGAATACCAGAAAGTTGCCAATGTAATTCTGACTGGAGTAAAAGAAGGCCTCACATCACATTACGATCTAATCAAGAGTATGGGCTCGACGCAAGACATATGCGAAATGATCAGATTAAATGTTTGGAAATGTTAAAACCACTTCAAGATATATGCAGTCTATAATCCACCCCAGAATAGCCCCAACTTTGATTTTCTGAACCTCTTACACAATAATGTAATATAAGAAGACTTCAACGTCCGTTCCACCAGATGGGGCTATAAGAAAACAAACATTGCTGGAAACAAAATTGAAGACATGCTAAAGAGCAATTCTCTGGAACTTATTTACAGTAATGATGATCCTGCTACATATTTGCACTGCAATGGAACCAGAACAACTCCTGACTTGTTCCTGGCTT